CCACACTGTAGACATGGGCAATACCCTGAGGAAAACACACACACACACACACACACACACACACATTGGGCCACCCAGACGGTGCCACAGGACACACACACAATGGGCACTCCCCATATGCTGGCAGGAAACACCATCACCAATCGTGTTCCAACATCCAACCTCTCTGCCCCCTCAACCTCGCATCCCACAGTATATTGTCCCTCAGAGTCCAGCCTACATCACCTCATTTCAGGAGCAAGGGTCTGCTCGGCACAGGCGAAACTTATGGAGGCGGGAGACCACCTGTAATGCATGCCCCCAATGTGGTATCATGTTGAGACCAAGCCTCTCCTTCTGGAAATGCTTGTATTGCATAATGGTCTCACCATTGAAAACACACAGCACCATTTCCTGGAGAATCCATGCTACCTCCACAACTGGTTGGGTGGTGTTATTTTTAATGAAATGAAAATGGGAAATTATCCAGAAATGGAAAAGTAGAGAGATTCCAACAATGCCCATGGGGCTGAAAGGAGTGTGTGGGCTGCTCAGAGGTAGGTGAACTGATTTGAGGGCCTCAAGTATCAGGAGCTGCTTCAGAACACCTGGGAGGGAACTGCGCTCCTCAACTACCTGAATTCAAAATAGCCCCAGTCTCAACCTCTGGCTGGAAGGTGCTGAGACCACAAGGCCCATGTCCAGGCCCAGAGCTTTTCCCAGCCCCTTAGAGTTTAATCTCAGGGAACACAAATGTCATAATTACCTGTGGGTGACTGTGCAGCTCAGGCCCGGTTCCCCACCCTCCACACTGACAGCAGGGCCCCTCCCCTCCTGTCCTCTCCCTGTGTGCTCTGCCCTCATGAGAACCCTTATGGCTGGTTCACCACAGGGTCCCTTGGTCTGTGATGGTGTTCACGTGTTGACTCATTTGGTAAAAAACCCCACACAAATATATTGATTAGACTTGCAGTGGTTCTCAACCTTCCTAATGCCGTGACCCTTTAATACAGCTCCTCATGTTGTGGTGACCCCCAACCATAAAATTATTTTCGTTGCTACTTCATAACTGTAATTTTGCTACTGTTATGAATCGTAATGTAAATATCTGATACGCAGGATGTATTTTCATTGTTCGCGACCCACAGGTTGAGAACCGCTGGATTAGAGAGCGATAGTATGGGGGGGCGAAGAAACTCTCAGTTGTTGTTCCACTAATTTTATACATTCATTGTTTGATTCTTGCATGGGCCCTGAATGGGGATGGAACCTGCAACCTTGGCATTATCGAGATGATGCTTTAATCAACTGAGCTCTCTGGCCAGGGCCAAATTTATCAGGAGTTTTAAGTAAAATAAGTCACTAATGTATCTGCGAATAGATAGATACCAGAACCACCATGACGACAGATAGTGATAGAAGGCTAGAATTCATGAAGTTTTATAAGTGTTTTCTGGATATATTTGAAATAAGCTAACTCAAAGGTAGATTATGTCCTTGCAGCAGGAATTTCATATGCCAATTAGGAAGCATTGAAAAGGGGAGGAGTATTTTGTTTCAGGGAGATGGGCATGTATGGAAAGATAAAAGTGCAAGTTAAAAAGTTTGTTTTAGCCTGGCCAATATTACTCAGTGGTTGAGTACAAACTATGAACCAAGAAGTCAAGGTTAGATTCCGGTCAGGGCACAAGCCAGGATTGCAGGCTTTATACAGAGTGTGGGGCATGGAGGCAGCTGATCGATTATTCTAACTCATCATTGATGTTTATAGGTCTCTCTCCCTTCTCTGAAAATTAAGATGGCAAGTCTATATAGATATGACCATCTCTGTCATTTCCTGAGAGAATCATTGTTGCCTCTGTGGCAGCAAATATTGTCCAGAAGTGAAGACTACTGCCATCAGAATGATCAGGAATGCTGAATTGTCACAAGACACACAACCTGGGACTAATTATATGATTATCCTCCCTCTAGCTTTGAGTTCCTGCCTGTTGTGGTAACCTTGAGGTGAACACCATAGAGGGGCCCAGGGAAACCCAAAATCATGAGATTCTTTTCACAACAAATCACTTCAGCTACACAAAGAACACACAAGCTTCAGGACTGGGTCATTTGTGGATAATGTTTAGAAGAGGCAATTTTCATACAATATACTGCCGTCTCTTCCACTCACTATGAAAATAGTGTTTGTCCCAATATTAGTTGCACTTCAGTGTTACAACAAATGAAACCAGCCTGTGAAATTTCACACATCATGGTATAGGGCTCCTTTGCAGTATGTAAGACATACTATGAACAGAGAATATAATTCATATTGCTCACAGAAGCACAACAAAGGACTCTTCTGGGTGATCATTGACCTCACCAATAATACAGGCACCGGGCTAAAAAATTAGAACCAAAAAGTCATGCAGATTTTTGTTAAAGGGCTTGGTCAGCAATACAAAATAAACCGATATTGGCCAAAGAGTAATTTTTTGCCATTATGATGTGCCTTCCAAAGCACAGAAAGTTTGAGACTCCACCTTATCTGTTTACCTCTGGGTGTGACAGATCACAACTATCCTTTCAAATCATCCCAGGCAGTGAATATTACCCAAAAATTAAAGGTCAAAAGCAAAAAACACCTTTACTAAAAGATCATAAACCAGAACAGAGGACAGCAAGCAGTTTGTAGGTTGGTAAGAACATAAAACAACTCATCAGAGGATAATGTTAGAACAATGATAGAAGTACAAAAAAGGGCTCCTCTTCTGGGGGACCACTGACCTCATCAACATTAGAGGCATAACGTTATGCAAACTTTATTTCATTGCATAAAATAAATTCATCAGTGGTATAAAATAAGCCATTATTGGACAAAGAGTGATTTTTCTGACATTATTATACGCTTTCCAAAGAACAGAAAATTTCGGACCCCACCATATCTTTTAACTTCACCATGATGATAGATTATAATTTTCATAACAAATCATCCAGAGAGTGAAATTAAAAAAAAATAAAATACAGCTACGAAAGAAAAAACCATCTTTACTAACCAGATCATAAACCAGAACAGAGGACAGTAAGAAATTTGTAGGTTGGTAAATTAGAAAGTAAAACAATTCATAAAAGCATAATGTGAGAACCACAATGTCCCTGAAAGTGGTAGCACTCCTTAGCTGAGGATGGGTGCTCTGGAAAAACCCTGGGTCAGATGCATTCTATAGTCAGACAGAAGGAAGATCCTGTCAAGAGCTTCAAGTAATCTTAATTTTCTCAAGCACAAGTGAGAACACAGAATACATTTCCCCTGAGCACACAGGGGTTGGGACTGATGCACACTCTTCAGGTGAGCCAGATGGTAGAGGTGAAATCTCTTTAGCCACAAATCAATCGGGTAGTAAATCTGGGCATGTTACCAAGTGCAATGCACCTCCTTCAAGACTCCATTGTACTAGAAATGTATGAGGAATTTAGCAGAGTGTATGTTCCATTAAAAGGGGTTAAATTCGGGAAAACAAGTCCCAAAGAGTCTCCTTCAGTGTTGTTATTGTAAGTAAATAAAATAAAACATATCCTGCACATTTAACACTTCTCACCACTGTGAACTCTCAGATGTTTCATAAGAGTAGATTTTTGGCTAAAAGCCTTCCCACATTCAGTACACTGATACGGCTTCTCTCCAGTGTGAACTCTGAGGTGTACAATGAGGTGATCCCTTCGTCGAAAGGACATCCCACATTCTCTACACTCGTATGGCTTCTCTCCAGTGTGAACTCTCAGATGTTGCATAACGTAAGATTTTTGGCTAAAAGACTTCCCACATTGTCTGCATGCATATGGCTTTTCTCCTATATGAACTCTGTTTTGTTGTTCAAGGGCAGACTTATTACTGAAGGACTTCCCACAATGTCTAACCTCATATGGTTTCTCTCTAGTGTGAACTCTCTGGTGTTTAATGAGTACAGGTCTTTGTGTGAAGCACTTCCCACATTCACAACACTCATATGGCTTTTCTCCAGTGTGAACTCTCAGATGTTTAATAAGGTTAGCTTTTTGGCTACAAGACTTCCCACATTCAGTACACTCATATGGCTTCTCTCCAGTGTGAACTTTCAGATGTATAGTAAGACTAGATTTTTGGCTAAAAGACTTCCCACATTCAGCACACTCATATGGCTTCTCTCCACTGTGAACTCTCAGATGGTTAATAAGGTTAGATTTTCGGCTAAAAGACTTCGCACATTCAGTACACTCATAAGGCCTCTCTCCAGTGTGAACTCTCTGGTGGTTAATGAGTGTACTACTTTTACTGAAGGATTTCCCACATTCATTACACTCATATGGCCTCTCTCCAGTGTGAACTCTCTGGTGGTTAATGAATGTACTTCTTTCCCTGAAGAACTTCCCACATTCATTACACTCATATGGCCTCTCTCCAGTGTGAACTCTCTGGTGGTTAATGAGTGTACTTTTTTCCCTGAAGAACTTCCCACATTCTCTACACTCATACAGCTGTTCTCCAGGGTGAACTCTCTTATGTCGAATGAGGTTAAAGATTCGTCTAAACACTTTCCTACATTTGTTACACTCATAAACCACTTCTCCAGAAAATGCACCCTGACGTTGAACAACTTTCAGGTTGTGGATGGCAGCATCTTCACATTCACCCCACCGGTGATGACTTTTTCCATCAAGAAATTGCTGTGAAATCTCATTGCCACAGTGTAGCTCCTCAGTGTTGAGAGTGGCCTGGTGCTGGGGAAGCTCTGAGTTGTATTGCGAGACTTCCCCAACCTCCCTGCTGGTTGAAGGCACCAAAGATACGGAGAAGCTGCACCTGCTCACAAAGGAGGGCCTGCCCATAGCTTCTTTCCAGGGCTCCTCTCCACATTCATTCCTCTGTTGCTGGTGAGGGTTTGCACTGAAACAGACGTCTCCAACACTTGCGTCACTACAGAAGGCTTTCTGCTCAAAGTGTGCTGCATGTGATCCAGTCAGGTGCAAAATATGTTGTAACACAGAGAAACACTGCTTACACAGAAGGGTCTTCTGGGTGGCTGTAGCTGTCTTAGAAGCCCCGACCTGTGACTCTCCTTGTATAGATACACTCTGAGCAGAACAGGCCTCCTCATCATCCATTTTATGCCAACAACCTGAAAAGTAAGAAATGGTGAGGAAATGATTGTTGATTGTGTGACAGGGTGAAGTCCCATTGCAAAAGTGTGTTACACATCACATGTTGGTTCCATGCAATTGTCTGAAAATAAGAGATGTGCAGGAAGGGTTAATAAGAGGCTCTTGTGACTTTCTGGGATAATGAAGATCAGAACACAGGAAGGCCTTACCAGAAATGACACAAACATGGCAAGCACCACATGGATTAGAACAGTTATGGCGAACCTTTTGAAATCGGAGTGTCAGCATTTTGAAAAACCCTAACTTAACTCTGGTGCCGTATCACATACAGAAATTTTTTGATATCTGCAACCATAGTAAAACAAAGATTTATATTTTTGATATTTATTTTATATATTTAAATGCCATTTAACAAAGAAAATCAACCAAAAAAATGAGTTCGCGTGTCACCTCTGACACGCGTGTCATAGGTTCGCCATCACTGGATTAGAATATGGTTCTCCAGCTCATCCTTCAACTAACAGCATTCAGCAGGGCTTATCTGCTGGGGAGCGGGGCGAGCTATGCAAGAGGTCAGTTCCGTCTTACTCCAAGTAAAATTTAATAAAGGAGTAGCTGGTTTCAAGGACTACTTAGCACATATGTGCACCTCATAACACATGTGCAAGTCAATGTTGTAGAATACTGCAGAGGCAGCAGTGCAGAGGAACAGGTGATACAAAAGTGAGCAGTCTGAACTGGGCCAGAGCAACACAGCTTGCTATAGTATTAAGGGATTAAAATATTACAAACAGTTGAATAAGGGTCTTACACAAGAGCCCATGGTTCATGTAGGTAAAGACCATAACACGGCACAGGCTGCCACCTAGAGAAAGAGGGAAGAAGTTGAAGCCACGCATGTGGACACTGTCAGCCTCACATGAAGAGTAAGTGCAAGCTGGGACCCATTAAGCTCATGAAAGACTCCTGACTCCCTAACACTTCCTGTACTTTTTGAGGTAATGGGTGTTAGGGATGTTCATGGAGTCCTTTGCTCAGGGCTCCTCATCTATCTCATCCATGGAAGCCACAGCACATTTGACAGGACAGTGGGGGAAATTAGCAGAGGCAACGTTCTGGCTGTGGGAGAGAGAAAGCTAAGGCTGAGAGGAATAAAGGAAGAGAGGTCATCACCTGAGGACACTGGCAGAATGTGAAGGTCTTACCTACAGATGATACAAATGCAAACACTTCCAGCATCACATTGTAGTACAGAAGTTTCTGAGCCTCATCAAGGAGTCCCCACTCCTCCTGAGAGAAGGCAATGACTACTTCCTCAAAGTTCACATCCTGTCATAATGGGGACAGTACAGTCATGATCAGATTCAATCCTAAGATTATAAGTCTGTCATATTCCCCACCCTCCTCACCCATCTGCTCTTTCCACTCTTCACATGCGAGAAAATACCAGGCCTTCATCCCATGAAAGGCACTGTCTTCTTATATTCCTGCTGATATTTTTCTTCCCACAACAATTAAGGCAGTTGAGCAGATAGAAGATACCTGAGCTCTGGACCTCCCATGTATGCCACACTGCCTATTATCAATAGATTGGGTGTCAAACACATAGGTTAGAGAGGGATGTTGGCCATAAAGAGAGTGTGAGTAATTTGATGCTGATCTTCTCAGGAAATAGCCTTATAGTCCCTCCTCTAAAACACCAAAAACATGACATCACACTTCATCAGCTTGACCCCAATCCCAAGGTGCTGAGGCCATCACTTTTCAGAGAACTATGTGAACAACACTTCTCTCACACAGGTTCATTCCCAGAGCACAACTTCAAAGATAATTCAAATTTGCCATGGTGTGGATAAATTTTTTCCTAATCAACTTCTTTTCCAAAAATATAGGTCACCCCTCCATAATCTAGTTCTCTCTTACCCTTCTTCCTTATCCATGCCAGGGGAGATTTACAAGCCTGGGTAACACTGATGAATGCTATCTCATTCCCATCAATCAATGTGTCACTCGCAACAAAGGCCGGTGGTTAGTTGAATGGCACCTAAGCTCTTAACTTAGAATGTAGCACCCAAACACCTATCTTTACAGGCAATTCACCTTACTGTTACATCCAGGCACCACCAGAAATAGACTCTTCCTTCATTCACGCTTATGTCAATGTCAGGGTGCTGTGGCCATGAATTTACTTCCGTCTCCAAGTGCACATCACTCTTTCTACCACACCTCACTCACACCTGCACTTCCACAGCCCCACCCCCATGTTCATCTCCTGGCCTTTTACTTATTACTCAGCATGTGTTGTCCAGAGGACGGTTGCCAAATTGAATCATGATCAAGTACTACCCAGACTCTGATAATCCAAACTCATAGAGGCAGCCTTGAGTCCTGCTATATAGGCCTCTCTCCATGACTGCTTTTTTTTCTCCTTCAACCACAACTATTAAGAAAAACAATCAGGGAAGACAAGATGGCGGCGATATAGGCAGACGTGTCCCAGGTCGTGTCCCGGAGCATATGGAGTAAGCAGCTCAAACTAATAACACCCACCCCAAATTGGCGAAACTACTCAGCTGGTGCGACGGTTTGCAGCTGGGAAGGGCAGAACTCCCCTGGAAAGGTAAAAAACCAGGGATCTGGGCAGGAAAGTTTGCCAGACCTTTGAGCTCAGAGGGTCAGAGGGAGACCGCGTGGCAGACAGCTGTGTCCCTTGGGACAGGCAAAGCCCCTGACTTGGGAAAGGAGATCCGTGGGATTGCTGGCACCGGGGGATTTGAGATCTGGGTCCTGTGATCACGGAGGACTGAGCCTAAAGGGGGCAGCCTGAAGAGATGACCAGACCATGCAGTGCCGGTAAGAGAAGAGCTTACAGAATCTCAGCCTTCCCCGTTTCCGCGGCCGGCGTTTGTTTGTTTGTTTTCACTGAATACTGTTCATAAGACATTTTGGATAGAGACACTCACCTGTGCTGAAGAGAGAGAGAAGGTGCAGACGGGTGGAATCTGGGGAGAGGCTGAGGAGCGGGGGGGCCGGGAGAGGTGGCAGCGAATTGAGTGCTGAGACACCCCTGGGCCCAGGATTGGGACAGCCATTCTCCCCGGAGGGTGGGACTCCCCCACCTAACCCCCAGGCAAGGAGCACAGCCACACCCAGATTCCACCCTGAACGAGATGAAGGATTAAAATAATCTGATTAGTCCCTGGGAGTTAACAGGGTCTGGCCTGTAGAGGGATTTTCAATCCCAGCAACAACACAGAGCAGGGTAACGATTAAAGAACCATCTCTGGACAGTTGACCTCCCCAAACCAGTTTTAAGTGCAATAGAGAAAATAAACCCTTGCTACTGGATAGAGAAGCTCTGGACCAGAGGCCAACCCAAAAACACTGCCACCCAGAGGCTGAGCCACAAACTGACTCTTAGATAAACACAAATTAAGGCAGTCTGGGACACAAATACGGCCTGCTTTAAAATCAGGACTGTGGTTTACAAAACGGAGGAACAGTGTATCGCAGGAAAATTCAACACTCTCCTGAATACCTGGCAGGACTAAGGCGAGCCAGGCTGACGAGTAGAAGAACCGAAGGACCTTCACTACAGCAAATTTTTTTTTCTTTTTTCACCTTTTAACTAAGGAACCAATTTTTTTCTTCTTCTTTTTCCATCACCTGATTTTACCCTTTTAGTTACTACATTTTTATTTTTAACCAGTATTATTACTGCTACCATTTAACCATTTTTTAAAGTGCCATTTTATTTTCTCTTTATTTTATTTGGGGATTAGTGTACTCCATTCTATTTTCATCGTTCCTTTAGCATCAATTTTCCCTACCTCAATTTTACCTCTATGCTAAAACCCTCT